CACGCTGATAAAGCGGCTGCTGCTCGAGCTGAAGGCCCGAGCAGCAGCAAAGTACCCCGACTCCCTCGTGAGCTGCACGGGAGCCGTCCTGGCCAACGAAAAGCTGCTGTCCGTCCTCGTCAAAGTGCTGCTGCTGCGCACCCACGCCCACAGCAGCCAGCAGGTGCACAGCGCCCTCAGCTGCCTGGACTTGTGGCTGCAGCTGCTGGCAGCAAGGGGGCTGCCGCTGCCGCCGAACTTCGACTTTGCTTTTTTCCGAAGTGCCCTCGAGCTGGTGCTGTCTTCGGACTTGTACCCAGTGGTCACCAAGGGGCTGTGGCTGGTCTACCGCAACTTGCCCATTCTCGACGGCGAGCAGCTGCAGCAGCTGCTGGGGGCTTTGTGTCTGCGGCGGCTCGCGCTGCGGCTGCTGCTGCACTGGGCCTGGCTCGTCCGCCGCGCCTTCATTTTGCTGCTGCTCTACAGGCTCGTCGAGGGCATGCGCAGGGTCATCGCCAGGGTCACCGGCAGCGAGCTCACCTTCTCCCAGCAGCAGCAGCAGCAGCAGCAGCAGCAGCAGGGGCGCAGGGTCGCGCTCTCCACCGAGGAGGCCGTCGTCGTCGACGGCTACTCCGTCCTCGTCCAGCTCATGAAGGCTCTCGGCATGGACGAGCTGCTGCCGGCAGCAGCAGTCAGCGCTGCAGCAGCAGCAGCGGCCCAGTTCCACAAGGGAAACGCCACCTACGCCGGGGCCCCCGCAACGCCCGCCACAGCAGCAGCAGCAGCAGCAGCGGCAGCAGCAGCTGCGGCCGGGACGGACCCTGCGCCCGACGCCAAGCAAACCGCTCCCGGACCATCACCAGCTGCTGCTGCCGGCCCTGCAGCAGCCGCTGTAGCAGCCGCTGCAGCCGCTGCAGCCCCGCAGCAGCAGCAGCAGCAGCAGCAGCTGTTCGAAGGCGACGTGGACGCCCCCGAACTGCAGGCCTACCGGAAACTTGCTGTTGCAGAATTCAAAAAGGAAATAGAACATTATAAAGCTTGGGTCGCTGCTGGAGCTCTCTCTCTGCCCATGATGGTCATTCCCAGCGCGCCCCTAGACGCCAACACCGACGTGCCCCTCGAGGGCTGGCAGTAGCTGCTGCTGCTGCTGCTGCTGCTGCTGCTGCGGCGGCGGCGGCGGTGGCGGGGGGAGCGGGGGCGAGCAGCGGCAGCTGCTGCTGCGGCGAAAACAGCAGCAGCAGCAGTTGGCAGCAGCAGGAGCTGCTGCTGCTAAAACAGCAGCAGCAGTCGCTGCTGCCGTTGGAACAGCAGCGGAAGCACCAGGAGCAGGAGCAGCAGCAACTGCAGCAGCAGCAAAATAAAGCGATACCAGCAAGTGCTGCTGCAGCTGCTGCTCGCACTTAGTGCAGCGCCTCACGCGGAAATTTACGCGCCTCTTGAGGGCCAGCAGTAAATCTACTGCTATCGTAGCAGCAGCAACTTTACAAGCTGCTGCAGCAGCAGCAGCAGCTGCTGCTGCTGCTGCTGCTAGTGGTGACGACGCCCAGTGCGCGGCTCGAAGCAAAAAGACAGTTCTGCCTCTCGAGGGGCGGCAGCGAAGTGGCTGCCGCTGCTGCAGCAGCAGCAGCAGCAGCAAACCCTGCTGCTGCTTGTGGGGAGGAACTGATTAGTAGCAGTTGTCTATGAATGAACGTGATTAGCGAACTGAGGTGTATAGGCAGCAGCAGCAAACAAAGCGACTCAAAAGGGAAGCAGCAAATCAGTTATTTATTTTCCCATTCTATTACTTCTGTCATCACTTTTGTCGTTATTGTTATTTTTATTATTATAAGGAATGTAAATGTTGTTGTTATTGTCTTTCTGTCTCCTTTGGCTGTTTCTCAGTTTTCTTTTAATTTGAATTTCGCTGAAGAGAGGAATTAAATTTTATTTTTTTCTTTTCCACTTCGCCAGCTGGCCAAAGTACAGCTCGCGAAGCCTTTGTTTTATGAAACAAAAATAGAAGAATAATTTCGAAAGTTTAAAGCACTCAAGAATTGTTTTGCTGCACTCAGCTGTAGTAGTCAATGGCTGCACCTGAGGGTGACCACTGGTCAGTAGTGGTCACCCACAAGCAACCACTGGACTTCGCCAGAGACCTTCTTACTAAATTGAGTAAACTGAGTGAAGATAAATATATAAATAAGTATGTATATGTATGTATATATATTATGGGCGAGGCTCTTGTTCATTTCCTTCAAAAAAGGACTCAAATTGGCTGGCAACCGGGACGCCCGAAGCGAAATGACTAATAAAATGCAACAAAATGAAATTAAATTAAATAAAATTAAATTCAAAATTCAAATTGCATCAAGAGAGGCAAAAGCAAAAGCCTTCTGCCGGAATCGAACCGGCGACCTTCCGCTTACTAAGCGGATGCTCTACCGACTAAGCTAAGGAGGCGAGGGTCACCATCTGGAATTTCGAGTTCAAATAGATTTTGAAACCTGAAATTAACCATTTAAATGACAAAATACAATTAAATAGTCCAATAAACGCTTTTTAAAGTTGAAAATAAGTATATTTATTCGAAACCTTGGCTGCTCAGCTGGTGCGGAGGCTGGGTCACTTGGCTAATGGCCCCCGGACTCAGCCACGAAGCAGGACCAAAAGAGTAGTTTTTGTATGTTTTATTCTTTCCTTGAATTGATTAATTATTATTTAAAAAGAAATAAACAAAAAATATAAATCCTTTTCAATCCGCGGCAACCTGCAAGAAATACCGCGGTAGTGCCACCCGGAAATGCCCACAAAGCCTTGAACATGTAGTTAATAATTCAAATTAGTGTTTTATGAAATTCATTTAAAAGTCATTTAATTTAAAATTGATTAAATTAAACTCATTTCAATTCAAAATTGGATCAAATGGCACTTGTTAAAGGGTCACTCCCGCCTCCTTAGCTTAGTCGGTAGAGCATCCGCTTAGTAAGCGGAAGGTCGCCGGTTCGATTCCGGCAGAAGGCTTTTGCAGTTTCTGTTTTGTTGAATTTTGCATTTAATTACTTTCGCGCCTTTTTGATAAAACTTTCTTTTCAAGTTTTCGTTTTTCTCTCAAGTTATTCTTTCAAGTTGCAAGCCTATAATTACTGCCAATGAGCAGCAAAAGAGGAAGCAAATGGAAAAACAAAACTCAACTCGGGAGCTGCATGCTTCGCAGAATTAATGGACTGCTTGCTTCTGCAGAGGCGCCTGAAGGACCACTGGTCACTTTCTGGTGGACCACTGGTCGCCACTGCACTCTACCAGTAGCTGTTGTTAAGAGCATTACGAATAAGCTTTGAAAAGCCTTTTATTCCGTTGAAATATTTATTTATTTCAATCCTTTATTTCTTTCTTTCTCAAATCAATCCTTTTTGAGGGACTAAGCAAACCTGCACTGCTGGACTGTCTGAAGCATTTCAATCTAAAAGGGCCAAATAACAAATCGAATTCCATTTAACTTCGCAAATTAAATAAAATTTATTTCATAAAACATAAATGAAAAGGATTTAATGTGCAACAAAAGGAAATAAAAGAGAAACAAAGAAAAACTCATGCTGCACTTGGAAGTCCAGCAGCAAACCCGATCTTGCCTCCTTAGCTTAGTCGGTAGAGCATCCGCTTAGTAAGCGGAAGGTCGCCGGTTCGATTCCGGCAGAAGGCTTTTTCATTTTAATTTTTATTTATTCAGCTTATTTTACTCAGTTTGTTTCATTTAATTTGTTTTATTTGTGCTTTTGTCTTCCCTTTTGTCTCTGAGCTAAAGAAATCCAGAAACAAATCAAATGGAAAATAAATTTGGACATTTTTCTGCTTCTGCAGCAGCTAACTCGAAATTTGTGCATGCGGAGCAGCAGCAGGCAAGCCCTGCAGCAACTGCCACCGCCCCTGCTGCTGCTGCTGCTGCTGCTGCTGCTGTTGCTGCTGCTGCTGTGCTCCCGTGCTGGATTGCTATTTCAGCGTGTGCTTCTGCTGCTGCTGCTCTGCAGCATCTGCTCTAAGGGCTGTTCTGGGGCTTTGTGTGCATGCAGAGTTTACTGCCAGTGTTGCTGCTGCTGCAGAAGTGCCATTAAGTAGAAACATGCATGCAATGGAAGAGAAATGCATATTCCTTTTGATAATCTTTTTGCTGCTGCTAGCTTAGAAGTGGCAGCTGCTAAGGCCTAAGAGCCAAGGAGAGCAGCCGCTGCCTTTGCTGCTGTAGTTCAGCAGATTTGGTGGCTCTGAGCTCTGCATTACTTTCGCGGGCCCGTGGAAGGGCCATCATGCCTTCCCTAGATCAACAAGCATTCTACCGTTTAGGGTTTAGGGTTCAGGGTTTAGGGTTTAGGGTTTACGGGTCGTAGTTGAGCCATACGGGAGCACTGGATAAGCACCCCTTTAGGGTTAAATTGGCTCTCAAGGGCTCCGCCTGATCTCCTCCATTGTAACCGATTAATTAATTAATTCACTAAATAACTAAATCAAAGAATAAATAGAATAAATAATTAATTAATTCACTCAACGATCTATTCAGCAGGTGGATCCACGTGTGAGCCAATGGTGCATGCGAGCTCATCGAAGCGGCAAAAACGAGTTTAAAAGAAACAAATGAAACCAAATATCAAATTAAATGATTAGAAATATTAAAAATAATAATATTTAAACATAAAAACGAGAGAAACTTAACTCCTTTGACTTTGAGAAAAGCCTCCTGCCGGAATCGAACCGGCGACCTTCCGCTTACTAAGCGGATGCTCTACCGACTAAGCTAAGAAGGCTTGAAGTCACTCCGAATATTATTTCCAATATTCAATTATTACTTTTATTTTACCAACATATTTCGAATTTAATTATAATTCAATTCTAATATATTTGTAACATTGAGTTTGATTCGGTTGTATGATTGACAGCAGCTGCATGCAGATTTCGGGCAAAGCCCCTTGACTCCCGGGCTTTCTAAAAAAGACTGAACTGTTACTGGAAGCAAATGTGAAAGCATGAAACACCAAACACCAAATTCTAAACCCTTAAACTCTAAACCCTAAACCCTAAACCCTAAACAAATAGTTAATGAGAAGCTCTTTTGAACGAATCCTCTGTTTTCATTTTATGTGCCCACGTCGGTTGTACTTCATGGGCAGGCACTAGACCCCAAACCCCAAACCCTAAACCCTTACGGCTAAACTCACAGCCCAAAACGCCAAACCCTCAACCTTAACTCTAAACCCTAAACCCTAAACCCTGGAGGAGTGCTTTAAACCCTTATCTCGAAACAGCCGAAAGCGACAAGGCTCAGCGCCAGCAGCTGAAGCCAGCAGCAAATGTCCCATGCACATACAAATATAATTTCATAAGTATATTACATTTTATTCAGAAAATTCAAATCTTTCAAAACATTTCAATTATCATAGTCGTATATTTATATTATGCAGTTAGTTAGTACAGGATTAGGACGCGAGAGGGTGGCGTGAAGCGATTCATTGATAAGCCAGAGGCGAAAGTACTTATTTTTGAGTTAATTGGGTGAAAAACAAATAAATAAATTTATTAAAAAACTGCAAAAGCCTTCTGCCGGAATCGAACCGGCGACCTTCCGCTTACTAAGCGGATGCTCTACCGACTAAGCTAAGAAGGCGAGGGTCACTACAGGGCTCTCTCCCCTTCCCGAAATAGCGAAAAATTCGGAATCAAGCAAATAATATGCAATAACGATGTTTAAATTTAGTTAAATATCATTATTGCCTCCTTTTTATTGCTTTCAGACTCTTTTAAAATCATTGTTTCCCCAATTTTACAAGATTTACTCCCCATCTTGATTCCTCGCAGCAGGGTCACCGAACCGCAGTCGGCGGTGCCCTGAGCCCATGTATGGCTGCTGGCTGGTCTATTCTTCATCTTTTGAGTTTCTTTTTACCTTTAAAAAGATATTTTATTTGCAAATAACAAGAAATTGATGTTATTTTGACCATAATTTATATAATTGTCCAATTCAGCCAAAGAACGAACAAAGAGCGGCGGCGTTTGCCTCCTTAGCTTAGTCGGTAGAGCATCCGCTTAGTAAGCGGAAGGTCGCCGGTTCGATTCCGGCAGAAGGCTTTTACTCTTTAAACTAATTGCTTTTTACTAATTTGTTTG